TCAACCAAATTCTTAGCTATTTCACTAGTATTACTTCTTTTCTATCGATTGAGCACAAGAAATCGCCAAGTCAACTGTTTCAACTACAAAATAAAGTGATCGGAAATTGTTAATTTGGCCAATTTAACACAAAGTTCAAAATATTCCAATTTCAAAATAGGGTCCAGAATGAACAATGTAGGCATTCCTGGCACTAAACTAACATTTCCTCTGTTCATTAGTTATGTTTTGAGGCTTTACAAATAAATTCCATTTTGATTTTTTATTCACATAATGAATTTTTATTCACACCAAAAAATAGAAGATTTACTGTTATGCAATACTGTAATAATTGTATAAATATCATCACCATATTTGTGAATGTATATTAGACCCACCACCTGATGTGTATTAGACGTGTGAGGTCGTTTGTTTACTCTTGAATATCGGCAAAAATTTAACATTTCTGCTACTTTGAGCTCAGTTTCAAGCCATTTCCAGTGCTAAAACCAATCAAAATCATCTCTATTTCTGTAATATGTCTTCCATTCTATCAAATGAGACCAAGAAATCGCAAATACAACTATAAAAAACATACGAAAAAACACTGCAAAGTTGCTGTTTTAATCGAAAAATCATGATTTCATTTTTTTTCTCTCATTATACACAGTGTGCTGCAGGATCTGTTTTATGTGGTGCACACATATCACATAGATGTATTCTCTCATATCTAGGCCCAAATGTACCACTCAGTTTATCAGAGTGAGCTGAGCTCATGGCGTAGATCTACGGTTTGGACCCTGAACGTAAAGCCGTAGATCTACGGGACGGACCCTGAAAGGGTTAAAGGGTTAATGGAGGTCTCATGAATCATGATGTAATGGACAATGCAAAGTTTTGCTTGTCAAACTTGTATATAAATATTCATTGATATATTCTACATGTACAATAAAAAGAGATTTGGGTATGGGAAATATATTGAGCATGTTTTGGATTAAATCCTGTGGTGTGTGTGAGATATATCCAGTGGACCCTCGGGTTACGGCGTTAATCCGTTCCAGAGAGCTTGCCTTTAACCGATTTGGACGTTAGCTGATTTAATTTTCCCCATAAGAAATAATGGAAATCCAATTAATCCATTTCAGACAGCCAAAAGTATTAATAAAAAAGAGAGAAGTTAAGAGAGTGGTGAAGCAATGTAAAAAGAGTGGGTGAGATGTTACCAACAAATTTTGTTGAAAATAAGAAAAAGTTTTGGAGTGAGATTAACAAGTTAAGGAAGCCTAGAGAACAAATGGATTTGTCAGTTAAAAATTGGAGAGGAGAGTTATTAAATGGAGAGTTAGAGATATTAGGAAGATGGAGGGGATATTTTGAGGAATTGTTAAATATTGATGAAGATAGGGAAGCTGTGATTTCGTGTATAGGGCAAGGAGGAATAACATCTTGTAGGAGTGAGGAAGAGCCAGTTGTGAGTGTGGGGGAAGTTCGTGAGGCAGTAGGTAAAATGAAAGGGGGTAAGGCAGCCGGGATTGATGGGATAAAGGTAGAAATGTTAAAAGCAGGTGGGGATGTAGTTTTGGAGTGGTTGGTGCAGTTATTTAATAAATGTATGGAAGAAGGTAAGGTACCTAGGGATTGGCAGAGAGCATGCATAGTTCCTTTGTATAAAGGCAAAGGGGACAAAAGAGAGTGCAAAAATTATAGGGGGATAAGTTTGTTGAGTATACCTGGTAAAGTGTATGGTAGAGTTATTATTGAAAGAATTAAGAGTAAGATGGAGAATAGGATAGCAGATGAACAAGGAGGCTTTAGGAAAGGTAGGGGGTGTGTGGACCAGGTGTTTACAGTGAAACACATAAGTGAACAGTATTTAGATAAGGCTAAAGAGGTCTTTGTGGCATTTATGGATTTGGAAAAGGCGTATGACAGGGTGGATAGGGGGGCAATGTGACAGATGTTGCAGGTGTATGGTGTACGAGTTAGGTTATTGAAAGCAGTGAAGAGTTTTTACGAGGATAGTGAGGCTCAAGTTAGAGTATGTAGGAAAGAGGGAAATTATTTCCCAGTAAAAGTAGGCCTTAGACAAGGATGTGTGATGTCACCGTGGTTGTTTAATATATTTATAGATGGGGTTGTAAGAGAAGTAAATGCGAGGGTCTTGGCAAGAGGCGTGGAGTTAAAAGATAAAGAATCACACACAAAGTGGGAGTTGTCACAGTTGCTCTTTGCTGATGACACTGTGCTCTTGGGAGATTCTGAAGAGAAGTTGCAGAGATTGGTTAATGAATTTGGTAGGGTATGGAAAAGAAGGAAATTAAAAGTGAATACAGGAAAGAGTAAGGTTATGAGGTTAAAAAGATTAGGTGATGAAAGATTGGATATCAGATTGGAGGGAGAGAGTATGGAGGAGGTGAATGTATTCAGATATTTGGGAGTGGACATGTCAGCAGATGAGTCTATGAAAGATGAGGTAAATCATAGAATTGATGAAGGGAAAAGAGTGAGTGGTGCACTTAGGAGTCTGTGGAGACAAAGAACTTTGTCCTTGGAGGCAAAGAGGGGAATGTATGAGAGTATAGTTTTACCAATGCTCTTATATGGGTGTGAAGCATGGGTGATGAATGTTGCAGCGAGGAGAAGGCTGGAGGCAGTGGAGATGTCATGTCTGAGGGCAATGTGTGGTGTGAATATAATGCAGAGAATTCATAGTTTGGAAGTTAGGAGGAGGTGCAGGATTACCAAAACTTTTGTCCAGAGGGCTGAGGAAGGGTTGTTGAGGTGGTTTGGACATGTAGAGAGAATGGAGCGAAACAGAATGACTTCAAGAGTGTATCAGTCTGTAGTGGAAGGAAGGCGGGGTAGGGGTCGGCCTAGGAAAGGTTGGAGGGAGGGGGTAAAGGAGGTTTTGTGTGCGGGGGGCTTGGACTTCCAGCAGGCATGCGTGAGCGTGTTTGATAGGAGTGAATGGAGACGAATGGTTTTTAATACTTGACGTGCTGTTGGAGTGTGAGCAAAGTAACATTTATGAAGGGGTTCAGGGAAACCGGCAGGCCGGACTTGAGTCCTGGAGATGGGAAGTACAGTGCCTGCACTCTGAAGGAGTGGTGTTAATGTTGCAGTTTAAAAACTGTAGTGTAAAGCACCCTTCTGGCAAGACAGTGATGGAGTGAATGATGGTGAAAGTTTTTCTTTTTCGGGCCACCCTGCCTTGGTGGGAATCGGCCAGTGTGATGATAAAAAAAATATATATAATTTTTTTAAAGATTGAATATAAATATACATACAGAAAACCATGACAAGTAAATAGAAAGCACTAATAAAATGGATAAGTGAGCATTTAATTAACATCACACTTGCATTTATTGACACTTATTGGTGTATGGAAGACACGTAGGAGGCAGGAGGAAGGCAAATTTATTATGCTTCAATATGATGCTAACATCATCTCCACGGCTTATTTATCTATCACAATTCGTATAATATGACATAGTAAGCAATATTAATAACATAGAAACGTGATATATACTCTAAAATGAATAAAATGTCATAATGTATGCGAGGAGTAAGTGTTGTTGTTGGGTCTATAAGGGCCACTGAGAGAAGCTGTACATAGTGGTGTACGTGAAGACATGTTTATGAAGTTTATTCTCTGTAAGTTTCAATAACATAGTCCAAAAAACAGCTGAGAAAAATATGTGTACTGAAAATTGCATTTGGCATGGAGGTGTAAATTAATGGCACCACGAAAGGTGGTTTTGGGACTTGGTACTCATAAAACAATCGTAATACAATATTCCGGTAAATGCAGTCACTGTAAATATCTTATCTTTATTCTACAAAAAAATAAAGTTTGTAAGTTTTTTACATGTTGCACAATACCTTGCCCTTTACTCGCATATAACTCCCATAATATTTGGAAAACAGTTATTCTGCTTACACCAGACAGGAGAACAATCATTGATTTACAATTGTTTTCAGTAAAGTATTTCAGTCTTCATAAAATAAGTCAATAACTTCCAAGATAATCGCCTGGAACACCGGCCGGCCTCCCGACTCGGGGGGGGGGGGGGGATTCAGGAAAATTGCGTTTGTTTCTGGGTTTACTGGTGATCTAGTATGGTATGGTTTGATCTAGTGTAGTTATCCTCTCCAAAACACATTTTCTCTTACTCAAGACCAAAGAAGACAATACATGTATAGGAAGCAGGGGAAATGATTTTATTCCTAATATCGCTGATAGACACTCGCCATATTATGGCCTGTTTTATTAATTCTAGTGTATATATCATGTTTATATGTCATTTATAGGGTGTATTATGTCATATTAGATCAATTCTGATAGGTAAATAAGCCGTAGAGTTGATATTGGCACAATAATGGTGAATTTTCTTCGGACTTCTCCTGCCTCCCGAGTGCCCGAATGTTGCAAGATGGTTCATGATTGGTTGACACTTGTCTGTAAACTCCACCCATTCTCATATGATGCCAAATAGGCCATTATTATATTAACAAGAATAATACAAGAAATAACACACCAAAAAAAAAAAAAAAAAAAAAATCCAAAAAAAATTACAGGATGTGAGCAGTCATGATGTCCAGCGCCGATGTCACCATACATGGTATAAATGACTGTAATTCCTTGTAGAAATGTTGTAGGACTTTGATTCTTGTACCATTGTGTTGCCAAAGAGTTACACTATTTTTCTATACCAATAACTCAATTTCTACAAATTTTCGATTTTTTTTTTCACTTGCGTGCAGCACCTGTTATGCCTTCCCTTAACCCTTAAACTGTCCAAACATAGATCTACGTTTGCGTGCGTAGCTTTCCGACCTTCATTTTCTCCATAATGTAAAAAAACGTAGATTTACGTTCGGAGCGCTATGCGAGCGAACGTAGATCTATGTTTGGACAGTTTAAGGGTTAATGTACGTTATTTGTAAATAAGAAATATTTGCATTTTAATTTATAAATAAGAAATATTTATACATTTTAATTTATAAATAAGTAAGTTTATTCAGGTATACACAAATAGTTACATACATAGATTATCATACATAGCAGCATATATCTAAAATACCTAGGATAACCCAAAAAAGTCAGAGTGACTTACGTATTTCCATTGGGGTCCTTTTATATTTACACTTGTATATTTACACTTACCTTGGAGATGTTAGTTTAATTAGTTTGATGAAGGAGATGCTGGCAGAGGTTTAGGGTGGTGGAAGATAGCAGCAGGGCGGCGCATGTTCAGCGGCCTTATACACATCCAACAACATTTGAGAGTTACTTTCGTGTCATTTTTCTATCACTTACTCTCTTAACTTACTTGCTACACTGTTAATTCTACACTTTATCGCTGGCTGGCACTATAGCCTTTATCAATACCTGCTGCTTTAATATCGTACATATCGTAGAATCAATGAATCACTGCAGAAGGCACATTCTCCTCTCTCTCTCTTCCTCCTCCACTTTGGTACTTTGCTACAAGTTTTTTCTTGTATTTTATTGTGTTTCTTTCCTTCTTTATCACAGGGCTGGCACTAGAAACTTTCTTTGGGCCCATGGTGGCTTATTTAGCAGTTACAAGCACTAAAAACAATGGAATAATAATAAACATATTGCTTGTATGCGTGGAATTGTCCTACTGGCTTGTACAATGGCACACTGGCTGTACACGGAGCCATGGAGTGGCCTGGCCCACTCAGGCCACGTGGACACGTTTGGAACTAATGCCCTTAACCGAGTTCTTGGGTGTTAACCTAGCCAATATTATGCCGCTATCCGATTTTGGCGTTAAACAATGCTGCCGTTACCCAAGGGTCCACTGTATTGAGTCGACAGAACACCTGAGGTGTTATTAACCTAAATTCCCTACCCCTCATCCCAAGAAAAAGAAAATATTGGAATACCCAGGGAAGCAGTGAAAAAGTTACCACTGGAGGTTAAATAAAAATCAGTAGTAGCAGATGGAGGTAAAAGATATAAGATGCCGACACAGTGAAAAAAAATTTGACAAATGCAGTATAATGTGATCCTCTATTGACTGTTTTTCACCCATAGAGTGTGCCTGATCAAGTCACAAGCAGATCATTGGGTAAAGAGTACATGATGGAAGTAAGTGGTATAAAATACTAACACAATGGAAATATAAGCAATTAAGCAGTATAATGTGATCCTTTATTGACAGTGATTCTTATGTGGGATAGTGATGAAGTTTCTTGGCAAGAGGTTCAGCTATGTTATAGAAGCCGTTGTTCTGGTTGAAGTTGTTGGATGTACAGATAAGTGATGATTCCATGACTCTTCCTTGGATCGTCAGATCTGCCTGCTAAATACCAAAGTACCAAATACCAAACACATATTTCAGAACACCAGTACGCAGGCAGATCTGACGATCCAAGGAATGCCTGCGTTCAACACTGAAATTCACACAACCATTTAATCAACTACAGAAATGCAAGACTTATCGCCAGAGAAGACAACACTCAATACCGAAGAATCCTGGAATCATCACTTGTCTGTACATCCAACAACTTCAACCAGAACAACGGCTTCTATAACATAGCTGAACCTCTTGCCAAGAAACTTCTTCATTGCTATTCCACATAAGAATCAAAACACTGCAGAAGGTCTACTCATATACTTATCCAATCTCTTTTAAAAGCTACCCAAGTTTTTAGACTCTATCACTCTACTTGGAACGCTGTCACATGCAGCTTTCTCCACCTGACTCGGCATTCTCATCCTGTGAATATTCACATATGTTTCACCCAGGTAGATCTGTTTGTGACTTGATAAAGCCCACTGTGTGGGCAAAATGTTGTCAGTAAAGGATCACATTATACTGCTTAAATGTTTACATTTCCAAAGAGTACAAAGTATATATAGGGTGGAGAGCCAGGTGGAGAATGCAGGGTAGGTTAGATTTGAGGTGGACCTGCACAGGATGGGTGAGAATGTTGGGTAGGTTTATTTGAGATGAACATGCATGGGATGGGCAAGTGTATATGTTATGTAGGATAATGAAGATGTTTCCTGGCAAGGGGTTCAGCTATGTTGTAAGAACTGTTGTTCTGGTTGAAATTGTAAGATACAGATCAGTGAAGATTCCAAGGTCCTGCAGTACCGAGTGTCTTCTTCCCTTGCAATGAATCTTGCATCTTTGTAGTTCATTAAATGGTTGTGGAAGCTTTGGTATAGAATGCAGGCATTCCTGAAATACGTGTTTCGAGATCTATAAATATCTCTCCCATGTATAATTGGTTCCAGTCATTGCAGGGGATTGTCTACCCCTGTACTGGATTAAACATTATTACATCTGTTAATGGTGATATCTTTGATAGTGGTGGATGTGGAGGTAGATACTTGGATTAAGGTATTGGAAATGTGTTTGGCAGTGGAGTTGGTGGGCAGGACTATGTATCTCCTCTCGTCGGTATCTTGTCTGAGTGACAGTTGAGAATGTTAGTTGCATGGCTTCTGCAGTCTAATGAAGTGACGAGGTTAGTGAAGTTTAGAAAATACTTGTTCACTGAGAAAGCATTCTTCCTCGAGGAATTCATTGCTACAGATTTGAAGGGCATGAAGAGAAAAGCCTGTGATTACACCACATTTAGTTTTGGTAATGTGGTAAGATTAGAGGTGGAGAAGATAATGTTGGTTGGTAGGTTTTCAATAACTTTAAAACACAGTTCGTTGTCAGCTTTGCAGAGAGGAACATCAAGGAAAGGAAGAGTATTGTCGACTTGTTGTAGTGTAAACTGGATTGAGTGCTCAGTCTGGTTGAGCTTGTGTTGGAGAGCAGGAATGCTGAAGCGTCTGGAAGTTATGACAATGTCATAGTCATAAGAGGTAATAAAGGAAAATCACTCGGCTTCTAGATGTTCTGTGTTTAGGTTCACCAGTATGGCACTTAGTGGGGGAATTCATGGGTAGTTCAAAAGTCTGCTGAAAAAGGTGATTTCCAAAAGAGAAAACAGTTCAACAAGGTCGATGAAATCATTAGCTGAAACAAGGTCATGCGGGTTGTCAGTTTTCCAGTGCAGGAGATCAATTGCTTATGTAGTTAGGTACCTTTGGTAAATAGCGATGTTACGTGTAGGCTAGAGAGCTTCTTGTTCCTGATGTTAATGTTGCGGACTAATTGTGCCCAAGAGTTCAGAAAGAGTGTTGAGCAAGTATCTTTGAGAATGAACTTCTTTTTAAAACTATCAAAAACCTACCAACCAGGACAAAGTTATCCACTTCTAATCTCACCACGACACCAAAACTAAATGTATTTTAATCATAGGCTTTTTACTTCATGCCCTCCTAATCTGTAGCAATGAATTCTTTGAGGAAGAAGGTTCTCTTATTGAACAGGTATTTTCTAAACTTCACTATGCTCGTCACTTCATTAGAGACTGCAGACGCCATGCATGTAACATCCTCAACTCAACCACACAAGATATTACGAACAGGAGATGCTTAGTCGTCCTCACCAACTCCAGTGCCAAACGCGTTTCCAGCATCTTTTCCAGTAAGTCATTCCAAGTATCTACCTCGATAATCTTCTGCAGGAGTATACATGATCCCTTGCAATGATTGCAACCATTTATATGTGGGTGAGACATCCAGAGACTTCTAAATACGTATTTCAGAACACCAATGCACAAGCAGAATGGACAATTTAAGGAATGCCTGCATTCTACACTGAAGCTTCCACAACCATTTAATGAACTACGGAGATGAAAGATTCATTGCCAGGGAAGAAGACACCCAGTACAGCAGGACCTTGGAATCATCATTTATCTGTATAATTAACAATTTCAACCAGAACAACAGCTATTACAACATAGCTTGTCAGGAAACATCATCTACATTGTTATTCTACGTAACATATGCACTTGCTCACCCCATGCAGGTCCATCTCAAATCCAACCTACCCAACATTCTCGCCCATCCTGCGCAGGTCCATCTCAAATCCAACCTACCCAGCATTCTCCACCTGATTCTACATCCTATATGTACTAATGTACTCTTTATCCAGGCAGATTTGTTTATGACTTGATAAAGCCCACTGTTTGGATGAAATGTAGTCAATCAAAGATCACATTATACTGCATTTGTTTTTTATTTTTCCAGTAGTAGCGGATGAGGTGGCACCTTGCATCTCAGTGAACTAGGTTGCTAGAAATTTTTTGACATTAGATGTTTAAAAGTAGGCATACTGGCAAACAAATAGAAAGTAGCAAATGTTTTGATATTTAACCCCCTCCATGTCGGTCCCATTTTATCATGGCTTTGAAGCCAGTGTTAGTTCCATAGTATGATTTTATGAGCTCAACACACTCAGATAAGCTGTGAGCGTTTGAATGGTAAATCTGGGCCTAAGTATGAGAGAAAGGGTCTATGTAGTAAGTGTACACGATATAAAAAAATCCTGCAATATGCAGTGCATAATAAAAAACTGTGACCCTGTTTTTGGTTTAAAACAGCTTCTTTGTGGTGTATTTCGCATGGTATTTGTGGTTGTATTCTCAGTCTCATTTGATAGAATGGAAGATATATAACAGAAAGAGATGATATTTTTTCATTTCAGGACTGAAAGTAGCATGAAATTGAACTCAAAGTTGTGGAAATGTTCAGTTTTTGCCGATATTCCAGAGTACACAGATGTCTAATACACGTCCAACTGGCCAGTCTGATGTGCATTTAGGAGTGCACTGCCATTATTTATACATTTATTAAAATAATACAGTAATCTACATAAGAGTAAATCTTTTTTTTTTTTTTTTTTGAACAAAAATTCAAAATGTAATGTAAGAGGGGCCAGAGATGCGACTAGGAACAGAGGAAATGTTGATTTAGTGCCAGGAATGTCTACATTGTTCATTCTGGACCATATTTTCAAATTGGCAATTGTTGAATTTTGTATGAAACTGGCCAAATTACTGATTTCTGATCACTTTATTGGGTAGTTGAAATAGGTAAATGGATAGTTTCTTGTACTCAGTCGATAGAATAGAAGGAATACTAGCAAAATAGCTGTGAGTTTGGTGGGCTGGAATAATGGAATTGGCCAAAAATATGCAAAGTGGGTGAAATTGCTGATGTGTAAATATCGCCAAGACCGCTAAGTTTGCAAGAGCAAAATTTCCAAAGTTTTCCATCAAATTTCGTACTTTTGGTTTCAATACCTTCAGAAAAAGATTCTCTGTCAACTAAATTCTTTTTCTGGATCATATTTCACGTTACTGTCATGGTCTTAAATCATTAAAAAAAAAAATGATGGGCAGGTTGAATTTACTTTTAAATTTTCAAAAAGAAAAGAGTTTGAGCTCATGAAACAGAAATCTGGAAGCTGCAGAATCTAGGAATAAAAGGTCAATACTACAGTGGATAAGTGTGCTTCAGTTTCAAAGGAAAATCTTAATTAACCCTTAAACATCCAAATGTATATATATGTTCACTTGCACAGCGCCCCGAATGTTTTGAAAAAAAAAAAAATTATAGAAAAAAAGAGCACTTTTTTAAAGCATTTTAGAAAAAAAAAATTTTAGGGTCAGTACTTACTGAGATATGAGGCCGAGAAGTTGGCACTGGATGCTCATGTGACAGCAACATCGAGTCCTGCCGCTTGCAGAAGTGTGCCTATATACATTTTTTTTCTATTTTTCATATTATTTAATGTAATTTTTATGTTCTAATTACAATTTGTAGTAGTTCTTGTCATTTTATAACCAATCTTTGTTCTGACACTAGTATTAGGTACTGAAATTGTACTCAAATTGTCAGAAACACACTGACATGTGGACATTTACACCTGTCTTGGTCATTTACTATTGTCTTGGAATATAAACAAAGTATTTATAGGTCCCAGCAATGTTTTGGATATGTGGAGGTATATAATAATAATAAAGATGATGATGAGGAGGAGGATGAGGATGATACATAATAATAATACGTAATAATATGTTCCCTTGAAGCATGAAAAACGAAGTCCATCCCTGACAATGACATGATAATGGAAGATAACATCTGATAAGAGCTGAGGTTTGATGAGCATACACTAGGGTGGAGGAGGGTGCAACTGATAAGAAAAGATTAGATGACCATCCCCCTTGCTTTGTTTTTGCTGGTACACAAACATTTCTGTCTGTCTATTTGTCTGTCAAGCTCCCTGTCTATCTGTCTACCTCTCTAAGAGAGAGCCACAAGTCTGCGTCATCACATTTACTCACATCTTCAAGCAGAGTATAGCACTTTGTCTGGATTTTTGGGTTATCCTAGGTAATTTATACTATGTATACTTGTATTTGTGTACCTGTGAGACAGACAATGAGAGATTGAAAGAGATAGACAGAGACAGATAGACAAAGACAGAGACAAGAAACATATAGAGACAGAGATAGACAGAGATCAACAGACCCTAAGCTTGGGGTTAACCTTACTTTCCTCGTAAAAGAGAAGTGTTAATATGACATTACATCAGTGAATCCTTGGTGTTTGCTGCACTGTTTGCTCTAGCTGGTGCTCAGTTTAACTGGCGCTCCCACAAGGTACTAAGTGGTCCCAGATTTTTTTTTAGTACTGTGCACACCGAGTGTTAAGACCATTTCTATGCTGACCAGGCATATCAGGCCAATCGTGCCAAATTTGGAGGCAGGAAAAATAAAACATTTATATACGTTTGCTATGCGTAAGAACGTATATATACGTTTGGACCATTTAGGGGTTAAGAGAGGTAAAATGGTTTGTTTGGTATCTTGTCACTAGCAGGATAGTGCAAGAATTGGTACTTGTTCTGGTGATATTTCAAATTTTTGTAAATGACTGGCCATAATGAGTAAAACATTGTGTGATTGTTAGCTTGAGTAAATGGTGCAAAATATGGTTGGTGGAATTAATGTACAGTGGTACCTTGAGTTTCGAACTTAATCCGTTCCAGGAGCTAGTTATAAAGTCGAAACGTTCAAAACTAAATGCAATATTTCCCATAAGAAATAATGTAAATACAATTAATCTGTTCCAGAAACCCAAAAATATTCACAAAAAAAAAAAACTTTTTATAGAGATAAATTATAGTTTTACACACACAGTACAATTAGTAATAGATAAATTAACATAAACATTTTTACTTACCTTTATTGAAGATTGTTGATGGCATCTGGAAGATAGGGAGGAGGAGTGAGGGAGCACTTATTGTTTGGAAGGGGAATCCCTTCTTTAAGATTTCCCTAAAATGGGACATAGTTCTGTCACTGAACTTGTTGTAGATATGGCTTGTTTCAGCTTGCTCAGGGTGATATTTTTCAGCAAATGCCTGCACCCTATTCCACATTGCACAGATCTCCTTAATCTCTGAAGAAGGCACCATCCACCACCACCACCATCCACCAATACCATCCACCACCACCATTCACCATCACCAGGGTAGCTTATTTCACAGTCACACTTAATAAACAAGCACCAAACACAATGAATTAATTATGAAATGTTTAAATGAGCACACAGGTTAGTGTTCACTCAAGCATTAACAAAGCCAGACTGGCCCACGATGCCTGCACGGGGGACATGGGCAGGCGGACAGGTCTGGTATGTGGCTCGAAACACGGGGCACGTTTGATACTTAGGACAAAATTGGTGCGAAAAAAGCAGTCAAAACTTGAAGCGTTCAGTAGGTGATGCGTTCAAAACTTGGGGTTCCACTGCAATTTTCATGTAATGGTAATGGGAGAAAGTAAAAATAGGTCACATGAGGACTGTAGATTGTATGATAAAATATTTAATGTAGGACCTATGTGTCATCCCTGAGAAAAGACTGTTAGAGGATTACAGACAATTGAACTGTTTGACTTGTTCTGTACACATCTCCGTGATGTCTGTACACGTGTAAAGCATACAGTGCTAGTCACAGCATTATGCCGGGTTAGTGTCCCGGCACAATGCCATAATGAAAATCAAAGGCCTATCATATTGTGGGGGGGGAGGTAGCAGCCATTAGCATGACATCATGGCCTGCCACCACACTCCACAATGACTCCTCAGTGCTCACGTGGCTGCCATGATGAGAGGAACTGTTGCATTTTCTTCTCTCATCTGCCTCATTTGTCCGGTGTTCTCTTAAGTTTTGGAGCTATATATGTTTGATTATGAGTAAAAGAAGTCTTTAACATCTGACACTATACCTCAAATCATAGGACTTCACAGAGCTGGGCACCAGACGAAAGAAATAGTGGGGAATGTTGGTGTGTGTGAGCGTTCAGTGAGGAACTGGGTGCAGCGTTTCAATGCTGGTGGCGGTGTCAAGTTACTGTCTGCCAAACCTCAGCTTGGGTCCTTGAAGAAGACATCTGTTCATACCTTAACTGTGTTAAAGAAGCAGTTAGAGAGTACAGCTAAGATAACTGTTAGAGAATTGAAAGAAAAGAACCCACATCTTCTCTCAGAGGTGTCTGTAAGTACAGTGGACCCCCACCTTACAATATTAATCCGTTCCTGAGAGCTCATCGTATGCCGAAATTATCGTAAGGTGAA